GGAGGGCGGCCCGACTGATCGATAACTCTTCTCTAACAAACAGTCTCAGGACCCTTTCGCACCGGCGGGCCTTCGGCGATCTAGCTCTTTTCTACAGCTACACCAACGGGCTTTGCTCCTCAGAGCTCTCTTCCATGATGCCGCCGCGCGATGTGCCTGCCAGGCAGACCCGCCTGACTTTGGCGTCCCATCCTAACCGTGTCGAACTTCGTACATCCAGAATTGGCCGATATGACCGCTCCTTTGTCCCGAGGGTGTCTAGATTGTGGAACAATCTACAAGAGGAAGCTTGAAGCTTTTCCCAGTTCTGCTAACCTTAGGAAGTTCAAAAATCGTATTAACAAAATTTCTTTGGGATCATCATAGCAGCCGCGGTGTCGGCATTTAGGCTTCTGCCTGCGCGGCTGCTTCGATATAAAAAAAAGACTACTGGTACACAACTATATTCAAAATCTATCTTATTCTCAATGATTATCTTGATGGAATTAAAAAAACTTACTTCATTTCAAAAGATCAATTTTTGGTTTCCTTTGAATCTTATTTTCATTCATGTCTTTTTGATCACCATCTCCTATTTAGAATAAATTTAGTAAAGTATGGAAAGACCAATGCTACAAGAAACCCGGTACAAATCATTGCCACCGAATATTGATATATACTAAGTGACATATAAATCCGAACAACCAGTTTAAATGGTTTTATTTTAATAAAAGTTGGTGAATGTATTTATCTTACTGTAAATAACAAGTGAACAAATTTTCAGCCTTATCAGTTGGACATTCCGGTTTTTATATTGCTTTTTTTTTTAATTCACTAACGCTCTAAAAATGAATATTTCAGCCGCAATAAAGAATCAACGTTGGCGGATTTTGGTTCTTGACATCCTTTACGATCGGTTACGATGCCTAGAGTACGGAGACCTGTACGATTTCGTCAAATTAGTGAGTTTGATAGGGGCCGTATAGTGGGACTTCGGGAAGCTGGACCTTCTTTTCGGGCAATTGCAGTTAGAGTGCAAAGAAGTGTAGACACTGTGGTTAGGTGTTGTCAGGCATGGCTTCGAGAATGCCGTACGCAAAGAGCAAGGGGCACTGGACGCCGCCGTAGAACAACAGACCGTGAAGATCGCCGCCTAAGATTATTGGCCTTAAGGGACCGTTTCTCCACTACCAGGTCCATTGCAAATGAATGGTTTGCAGAACACGGAAGAAATATTGGCATGCAAAGTGTTTACCGACGAAAGAGAAGTTTCGGCTTGTTTTCATACCGGCCACACTGGGTAATCCCTTTAACTCGAGAACACCGACGTAATCGCCTTGAGTGGTGCAGACAACTGTAACTCTGGGATCAGAAATGGTATTGTCTTTAGTGACGAGTCTCGATTTTTTTAGGCATGCACGATGGTCGTGCCAGGGTTAGAAGGCGACGTGGTGAAAGGAGAATCCACAGTTTTTTGTTGAAAGACATGTTCATCACACTGTTGGAGTTATGGTTTGGGGTGCTATAGCTTATGGTTCCAGGTCACCTTTAATCTTCATCAGAGGTAACATGAATGCGCAGCGTTATATCCACGAAGTTCTAGAACCCCATCTTTTACCCTATCTTGACACCCTGGCAGATCCAACTTTTCAACAAGGATAATGCCCGACCACATGTTGCAAGAGTCACAATAGACTTCTTTCAACATAATGATGTCACATTGTTACCATGGCCACCAAGATCTCCCGACTTATCCCCAATTGAGCACGTGTGGGATATGATGGGTAGGAGATTGCTCAATTTGCAACGTCCTCCTCAGACTCTAGAAGCACTTCGAGAGGAGTTGGTCGTTGCCTGGAATGAGATACCACAGGAGGACATTCACCACCTGATCAGAAGCATGCCTAGGCGCGTTGGAGAATGCGTAGCACATCAGGGTGCATCCACACATTATTAACGGTCAAAGGGCTTTAAAGCAGTGCAATCATTTTGAAATTTTTATCATTTACTTATTATGCTTCATTAAGTACTTATACACCATTTTATTAAAATAAAACCATTTAAACTGGGTGTTCAGATTTATATGTCACTTAGTATAATTAGTTTTAAAACATAATAAGTTTCAGTCATCAATGTAGGTGTCAAATATTGAACACCATTAATATTGGAATAATACGCTTTACGAGATGGATTGCCAAAATAGCTCCAGCATTCTACAAGCGCTCCTTTAATTCAGCCTCCTCCATTGTTGTTTCTACACGTCTGAACCAAAGCTAACTGAGAACTGGATGGTCCTTCGTTTGCATTTCATACGACATACCACAGAGTAGTAGGGGTGGAACGCTATTCCTATACACACCATTCGACCTAACTAGTGGGAACACTACTTAGACAAGTTCCGACTAGTACGGAAGAGTACGCATTATACACCGTTACACTTTTGCATTATCTATAAGAATATTTCTGTGAAGCACAACTTGAAGGTGCTTTGTAATGAGGACAGTGTAAAACGGCGTCATTGGCCATTAGTTATAGAGCCAAATTAACACCTTCCATACACCCCTTCGTAGTCCATATTAGTGGAGTCTTTATATCCATAAGTCCTCACAAGACCGCGTGCGCATAGCTTTCTACTAAAATTCCGGTGCTCTATTATTAGTGGGGACATCAACCAAGACATACACATTCTATAGCAGATTAGTAGTGGGGCGGGTGTAGAGGGAATCATTAGATCAATTAGTTGTGGGTACATATGCTTACTCAGTCATGTACTGTCGATTTTGTGAGGACGTTCTGACAAGAAAAGTTTGAGTGTATTTGGTAACAAAGGAGTATATAGGTATTTTAAGAATAGCTTTGGAATGAGCGCGTAGCCAGTAGCCAGTTTGAAAGTCCCCACTATAGCAGTAAATATCAAGTGGCCTCACAACTCTGACGAAACCTGTATAGGTGTGTGTGTAGTAATCGCGTCCGTGTAACTTTGAGAAACTTACTCAATAAAAATATCATCAATATACGAATAAGCAACCGCCAACCTTCAGTTCTTATATACGGACCTGGAAGTATGTTTTTATTGGCCTAGATGAAGTATCTGATCCTTAAGATGAGGCTCTTTCAAATCTAATACTAATGTAATGCATGTAGTCAGTACTTACAGATCTTACAAACTCGTCCGCTCAAATAAGTGAATAATTGGAATGCAGTTTTTGTGTTCCTTTCAAATATGTGAATGGAATTCAGAAAATCCAATATACAGGGTGTTGTTTTTCGGACACACTATTTGTTCAAATTTTAAGTAGTTCTGACCTGTATTCCTTTTCCTGTTCGTATCATAGTTGATTCGATACCATAAACTGAGTAAGCCTATGGAGTTTCAGAAAAATATAACGGGTGCTGAAAAAGTCGTTAGACCATAAATAAAAGTGACTGAAGACTCATCAGCCATGGGCTATTCATACTGAACTCAGTGGCCTCTATCCACGGTTAGAATATTTCCCTTGAGGTGCGTTTAGATCTGAGCACGCACGCACTGATCGTCCGCGAATGTTCAAGTGTAAACGGCCATGCGCGCATGCTCTCCCTGTATCTTCATGTGCGCGAGCAACAGCGAACGCGATCCGCGTTTTGTCGGTCTCAATATGTTGCTCATAGTAATTAATGGGGAATAGTACTAAAGTTCTAAAACTCTTGCAAGAGTATCGGTACTGTGGGACGTTAGGCACGAAGATTACTCAAAATCGAAAACAAATGGTGCATGGAAACAGCTAGTAATCAATTGTAGCATTAAAAATGTATACTGTTGCGAAGCACAGAAAAAAATTAAAAGTCTGATGGGATTATCTCGTCTCGAAACAAAGTAAAATGAAAATTTTGACACTCTGAAAAGATACTGGAAGCTGCTTAGGAGTATCCAGTTGCCAAAGAACGCAGGTTTATGACTAAACGTTTTCTCGGTGACATATTTTCGAAACCGTGTATCAATTTTTATTATCGTTGCTGTTACCAAAGCATGTATTCAAAGTCAGCCTTGGTCATTTTTGTAAAGTTTCTGAATTGGTCAGACTTTCGTTTCCGACTTTCTTCTATTTTAATCAAATTATACAGTATAATAAATATTTCCGCGGCTATACATCTATTCTCCATGTTAGCCTCGTACGGGAATGACTGGATCAGGGATCAGCCCATGCGTTGAATAATGAATTTCAGTTTTAACACTCTCCACGCACGCGAACGAATGCATACGCGTATGTTTAGTGCGTGCGTGCTCATATTATGTAAACGCACCTTTAGAGCTCCCAGCCGAATTCGGCGCCCTATCACATTTTGCCTCAGCATGCTATTCTTTTTGTGAAGATACCTCTACCCCCAATGACGCTTTCAAAAACACTGATGCAGTCGCCACTTGCATCGGTAACGATTCAGAAAGGAGAATTTGGGAAGAAGTTGTATTTGGAAGAAATCTTCCAATATGGGAGCACATGTAAAAAAGATTCGAGGTAGCAAAGTAGGCATTTATTAATCGATAGCGACATCAGCTTTTCAAAGATTCCCGAAACTTCCCAGGCAATGTCCTTATTTTACATCAAATGGTGGTATGTGACATTTTTTCCTCATTACAATTATAATGTTTGAAAAACATTCATTACGAAATACAAAGACTACCAAAACGTTTATTTATAGGCACCGTACAAGAAATCTTTTTATCAAACTGACCTATTTATGCTACTGACTAGTGACATTTTTTCAAAGTGTTATACTACTCACACTTTTCCTCACAAAAAATCTTTCTGGCTAAATATTACTTACTACGTCCAAGATTTACCTAATTGGACTTGAATTTTTGTTTACTTTTTGTACTCCTCCCGGTCTTTCTACAGCATTTACAAATTGATGCTACAAAGAGTATTAACACACCACCCAGTAGCAACAAAAATAGTTTAATATCTAGACCACTTGTTATGAATACGGGCAGATCTCTAGATTTTAGATTCAGAAAGTGGCTCCCGTTGTGCCTTATAGAGTACTCTATCCAGAATAGACTTCGTTCTAGAGGCGTTTGAGGTTGGTCTCTCATCCTTTTTCCCGTTTCTTTCATATTCTTAGCATACCTGAAAAGTAGTTCGAATATTATAAATTCAAATGGTACGAGTACAATGCACATACTGATATAAGTAGAATAAATGTGCAATGTACGCAATTTTATTCATATATTATCTGTCCTTATAAAAGCTTCATTCATCATCATTACTTGGTGTTTTCCAATCAAGACAATCCCACTGGTAATAAAAACTACGAGGGGTACTGGAAAAGATGACTACCTAGATATGAAGGAAAAGACGTACGATTTTTTTATAATTATTTCTTTCAATATAATCCTTCCTACATCCATGCCTTGCTCCACTTCACCTCCAGTGAACTTTTATAGAAAAATGTTTCCTCTGACTCTTGAAAAAGTAATTGATGGCGGCTTTTAGACCTTCATCTGAGTCAAAAATCTCCGAAGATCTTTCTTTAGTAATATAAAGAGGCAAGAGTTAGACGGATCCAAGTCCACGTCATAAGGAGGACTGACTTTCCGAAAGACCTGTTTTTGAATTTCGGATTGTTGCATATGTTTGAGAGTTTAATTTTGAGACTAGACGCAGACAATGGTCCTCAAAAAATAGGTCTGCGTCAATATATAGTCGCAGAAATTTTACTGAGTTTCAACGGCTACTATTGAGCCATTTACATTATTGCTAAATGCTTCTGTTATTTTCAGAACATCAAGGAATCTTATCCTGTTTTGGGTCTTCCACTAGTGGGATCGTGTTCTATAGTCTCACGCCTTTATGGAAACTGTTTTGTGGAAAATGTTCCTAAACGGCAACCATCCTCTCAAGAGTAAATTGTTTTCGACTGAGGGTCCTCTTTTGCGACACTAATTTTAAGTTACTCATTTTTCCTCACAATTCACTTTAAAAATTGGAAAATGTTTATCAAAGTTAACTCAAATTTTGCAAGTAAGGCTAAAGCACATGCAGCTATTTTGACATATTATGCTTGTGCGTTTCAATTGTTTTTTTTTACATGGCTAGGTAGACTGCTCTTCTAGTGCCCCTCGTATTAATTATACATAAAATCTGGACTGCATTTCCATAATAAAATACAAAAACAGAAATACGTTTTGCTATTAAATGTAATTACCATTATGAGCGGAAAATACAGATAACATTACGTCAGACAAGATGCAGTAATAAGAGTTAAAAACATCTTGACCTGTGAACAGCTGCATGCAGTCTCAACGAAGGGTCATCCAATTCATTATTTGTCAAGTGAAATGTGGATAAGCTGGATCGAGAACTGCAGCTATACTTGCTATTTGTCGGGTAACAGACAGTGGTCCAGCGCTGCAGCTGTTTTATGCTGCATCGCAGTATCCTTGGAATAATTTTGACAGTTCTCAGTATCTGATCCACAAACTATAAAATCTGTCAGCCAACACAAGCTTTGCAACAACATTTGCACTTAAAAGAAATTATTAAGTAAGCAACAGGTGATGTCTGCGGTGGGGGAATGCCAAGCAATTACCGACCACAATATTTCTTTTGCGTATACGTACAGAACAAACTAAATAATATTTAAACGTAACGTCCTGTGATAATGAAAATAGAAGGCATTGAAAATATATTCAAAGTTTCATTAACTCAATATTACTACCTTCACAAAAGAGGAATTTATATGAAGGTTATACATTTATTTGTCTGAAACTCAATTTCCCCAACGTTTCTGACTAACGCGATTGTTCTACTGTTTTATAATTGAAAACTGATTGAATTTTGAATGTCATATTTTATCATTTTCTTTATTTTGCTTATACATTATGTTTATATCTGTACCTAACAGGTATACTATATATATATATATATATATATATATATATATATATATATATATATATATATGTATATACAATACAATTGTTATATGTTAATTTTATGGATCACTGAGATATTTGCGGGAAAACTTGAATTTGGCCAAATCAGTTATATTTTTTTCTGTCTTTCTCTTTAGGGATATCAAAAAACTAATTTTACTTTTCCGTTTGCACTTTTTAGACACTATGCTGTTTTTAAATTTCGTGCCCGACGGCTTGTTCTTGAGAAACCATCAACTTTATCTTTTATATGGCCCGAAAAAAGGACAGCTTGTATCCAATTGCATTTTTTATACGAATTCAACACATGATACATTTATTTCCTTGACTATAAGGAAACAGCGTTTTCCTGTTTTTTGTTTTTTTTTTAAGTAGACGTTGCAAACAAATGCTTGACTTGACATAAATACTTGTCACCTGGTATTGTTATTATTGTGTATAGTTAATATTACTTTATTATCCTCAAAGATGCTATGCGGTCATTTTAATAATCAAGAAAAGTTTAACATGCTGACGTGTATGTTGATAAATTTCCCGAAAGAAGGTAGCCATGTAAGTCCATTTTCTTAGAGTTGTCTAGAAATTTAAATGAACATGTTTATTAAAAAAACTGGTCACGTCTCGAAACAAGGAGTCTTAAGAGGTAAATCAGAATAGTGTTTTAGAAGCCCTAGCCCAATTTACATTGAGTAAAAATAGGTATCATTTTTTGAGTGTTGCAGACAAACATGTGAAGAATCTTTTAATTTCCCCTGAAAAATAATACGGTCCACTCAGTACTGTGCTCAAGAAAATATGCGGGCTAAAAAAGTATACAGACATCAAGAACGCTCTGGTTTTAGTATGTGGTGTGAAATTCTAGGGACCAAGATATTAAGTCCATTTATTTACCACAACTTATTGACTGCAGAACGGTGCCTTCAACTGATGCAACATGATCTAGAAAAGTGTCTGGATAATTTACCTTTGGCACAGCTTAATAGCTGTTTGAACACCGATTGTCAATAAAATGACGATGGTGTTAAAAATGTATTCATCAAATTTCACCTCATCATATCATTACGTAATATGTAATATGTATTTATCAGTAGTCACTCATAAAAAATGAAAAAGACACATTTTCCTTTATAACTAAGAAAATAAATGTAACATGTGATATATCGTTGAGTTCGTAGGAAAAGGTGCCATCAGATACAGGGTGCACTGTTTTTAGGACCATAAAAAAGTTGATGATTTCTCAAAAACGAAGCGTCGGGCACAAAATTTAAAAACAACATCATGTAGTGCCTGAAAAGTGCCTGTGAAAAAGTTCCATTAGTTTGTTGAGATTACTCAAAATAAAGTCATAAAAAATAAAAACGATTATGACTAAATCGTATTTTTTCCCAAATACCACAGTAAGCCATGAAATTTTTACAAAAACTTGTAAAACGGCCTGTAAATACGCCCCAAAGAACGCAGCTTCTTCTTAATTTAACCTAGGCTGTATCTCCCACAAGTATCCCCATGCATAGGATGCTTATCTTGGACACTAGATAGAACTAACTAAGCCAATGATGAGCACCTACTTTCCTCCCTCCTCTAGAAAATATTCACGTTTCTTAAAAACAAATCCACCAATCATATCCTTTGAAAATATAAATTTTCTAAGTAAATATGAAGTATCTTCCAAGAACAAATAGTTACTTATGTATACGTATTTAGGGGACAAAGAGCCCGCTGCCAATAATTTCAGCCCAGTGCGCGAAGCGTCACGCTGTCTAATACTGCAAGCTAAATCGCAAACAAGAATTAAATATAAGAATATATACTATAATATCGCTGGTCGTTACCTAGCAATGGTTTCATAAGTACAGTTTGCGCATTCAACAATTTATACATAGCGGGCGCTAACGTCTTAGCGTAATGGGAATAAGGAATGAAGAATAATGCGGCAACGCCTACAGTATATTCAGATAAGAGATAGACCGGACATAAACAAGACCACGTGATCATCGAACGCTGTAACATTCGGCAGGGACATATTAAGAGTCACGCAGTACATATTTTAGATAGTAGATGCTGCTTTGCGTAACTTTGTAGTAAATTAGCACAATTCGATGTGTATACGATTGGTGATGGATATAGGATCATGTGGGGGTGGGGTAAGAAATATATAATGATGTAAATATACATAAGGGTTTCAAAATTTTCGCTTCGATTTCCAGCTTCGGATGCCGTCTGATGTTTGGTGAAATACAGTCGAATATAATCTCAAAATGGCGTTTAAATTAGCCTAAATTAAAAATAATCGTATATCTCTTAAAATTGCTTTTAGAATATTGATTAGTATATTTTTTGATTTCTAGGTAAATATGTAACCAAATTAAAACGTTCAAAACGTAAAAAAATGTGCATGGTTGAACATTGTCAGAAAGTAGATTCTTGAATAGGTTTTGCCAAAATGGGTTCAAAAATGTCAATAATTAATTAAAAAATACAGTAGCTTTATAATTACTTATAACTTACCGAATTTGATGAACGACATCTTTTATTGGAAAGATGAGCTTGATGAGCTTTCATCATCGCTACTGCCTGAAGCACTAACGTCAATAATGAATGGCTCGACTTGTTCCTCTAAAATATTGTCCAGTTCCCACATTCTCTTTTCACCTTTGTCTTTCACGTGCTTAATACAGTTTTCCCATTTTTGCGCTATTATTAATTCTAGTGCTTCTTTGAAAAGTCCTTTGAGGTCACACAATTTAAAAGTTGTATTGTGCTTAGCTATATAATTTTTAACCTCTGCCCATATGAGCTCAATGGGATTTAGCTCGCAATGGTATGGAGGTAAACGGAGCACAGTTTTATTTTGACTTGCTGCCATTTCGTCAATGGCGTATTTTTGATATTCCGCCTTGTGATCCTTGACAATTCTTAATAATTGTACTTTCAGCATTGCTTCTTCAACGTTGATATTTTTCAAGCGGAGCCAATTTTGAACATCAACTTTCCTTGAAGCCGTTGTTGGGACCTTCTCCATTCTTCGAGAATGATAAGGCGCATTATCCAACACAATTACTGCGTTTTCCTCTAAGTTCGGTAAAATTTTTGAAAACCACTGTTCAAACGATTCGCCATTCATTTCCTCGTGGTTTTCTTAGACTCAAAGCACCACAGACCGTCAACAACAAATCCATCCTCACTGCCAATATGGCAGATAATGAGCCTTTTCCCTTTACCTGGAAATCGAAGTCTAACTGGTGTAGATTTATTTCAATAAGCGAACCTTTTTCAAATGTTTTCATCACATTCAGCGAAAAAACATTGAGACATGAGTATCAGATTGCTATAATTGGGATTATTTAGTCATATTGAAAGAAAGAATATTGAACGTCGTATGCTTACTCAGCGCTTCACAATTTAATTTAAAGTTATAAACCTTTAAAAAATGAATGATCAGGAACCTGAAATACGCGCAAAGATTAATATTAACAAATTATAACTTTATAAAGCTTAAAGTATGAATTAAAATGATTAGAAATATTAGGAACGGTACACAATATAAAACTTAGTAACTTTTTTTAAGTTTATAATATTCGACATATTTTAAGATTATATTAAAAAATTATTGAAATATCGAAAACACATAAAAACATGGCTTAAAAAAGTCTAACAAATGAAAATGACAATAAAACATCCTCGCATTTTATCGAGAGTTATAAAAGTTTTGTTACTTGTAATATGTTTTATCTGCCCCCTGGAATTAATGTTTAGAACCTTGTTCCCAAGGTTTGAAAAACATCCGATTGTTGTCTATTACTCGTATTTACCTGCTGGATTTTTTAATCCGGTGGACAGTCCATCTAGAAAGGCCCTCCTGGATGAAGTTACAGAATCATCAACCCATACTTTACTTGTAGTGTGTCCTGCGTTTACCCACGTTTCATCAAGGTAATAAATCTTCCTGTTTTGATTTCTATATTTCCCAATTTTTGTTAAATAATCCCTCCTCCATAGTACAATTTCTTCTCTATCCAGTAGTAAACTATTACGACCCCGTTTTTTCCATTTGAAACTTAAATGCTTCAGTAACGCATGGAAAGTTGATCGTTTGAAATTTGGCAACGTTGTATCTCCATTTACATCCTGCAGTACTTTATCTATAGTAGGTATTTCATTCCTAAAGAAGAATTCATGCACTTTCCTCCTAATCGCATGCTTATCAGCTTCATCCAATGATTTAACAATACTTTTGCGATGTTTACTGGTCATTGGCTCAGAAAAGGTGTGATTTCTTTTGTATTGTCTTAACACATTAAACACTGATGCGCGACACACCCCAACTTTGTGAGAAACCTTCACAACAATTTATTTGATGGTTGATGCGTCGTTCTCCTCGCGCTCGATCTTATATATATTCAAAATGACCTCTTTCATTTCTGCACTCAGTTTTTTTTAGAGCGTTTCCTAGGTGGACTACAGGAGTTTACAACTTCATCGGCAGTATCTGTACTACTGGGCATTTTGCGCAAGCAGTTGATAACAATAACAATCAATAACAAGGTATAACAATAACAACGACAAACTCAACAACTTAATAAGATAACAAACGAAAACGTCCAAAGAAATATCAAATTGCAATGATGCACACGACATACGTAACACGTCTGAACCTGAATGTGACTCTGCCTTGATACGACTGCTCTGCCGCTCGGCATAGGCATTTAATTGCGAATTGACCAATGAGGGCTCCTGTTTTACGTCGAGACGGCGGCGTTAGCGTGAAAATCACCCGAACCTTTTGTTTACATCCGGTCTATCTCTTATCTGAATATACTGTAGAGAAAAATTTATAAACCACAGTTTTCTGCCTGGTATATCGTATGCCTGTCGACTGAGAGTTGACAGGTGTTGGACAGAAGTTCTGGGTACGCATTTAAATTCTCAAAAAATGCTTGACATCTCTGACCATCCAGAACAATACAAATCTCATATTTGCTAATGGCTTTGATAATAACAGTAGAAAATGTTCTTGGAAATGTTATCGGATATACGCTATGGGCAATGGTTCCATCCGGAGTTGCCAATACAAACGTAGGTCGTTGCATTATAGCACCATGATGAATGGCGTGTCCAGAGAATAGTTCGATTTAATAAAGCATTTGGTACTTGTGCTGCCACCATGCAGATTTAGTTTTTAAGATGCGTTAGTAATTGGATTTAAGTAACGATCAATTTCTGGGAAAGTAGGTGTCCGATAATTATGGGAATTTGGAGTTACAGGAGGCTAGGAGGAACTATCATGTATCAGATCCGATTAACTGATCGTTCAAAGCAGTGACGAGCAATATTGCTATAGAAAAATAAATTTTCTCAAATATCTCCGACATAACTAGATACTTTGAGAAATGATTTCTGTTTGAAAAAGACTTTTTTAAAATTCAATTTTGATTCTACTCTTTGGCCACTTTGGTATCTGATAAAGTTTATCGAAATACATTCCCTGCTATAAGCAAATCGCAAATCGTATGGCAAAGACACAGATAAAGAAAAATAATAATAATAATAATAATAATATATCAGTCTGTGCCGACGGACGTGCCACAACTTTGAAAATATTTTAGCAGATATGCTACCACAAACTTTTGTCATAGCTCAAAACTTGTATAGTAGTAAGTAATAGTTATATTCATTTTCTCTAAAAAACACAGATAACATCAAATGATTAAATAAATATAATTTAGAATTAAAAACACCATAATTATAATATTTGTAGGAATGACAGTATTTACTGTGCATTATTTGAAATTATTTCATAAATGTTGTTTCGCTCAAAAATGTTATATATTTTCAATTTTTTTTTAAACTTGTGTGTTACATAATTGAAGACCTCGGTGCAAAAACCAGGTAAGTCACATCATAGAAAGTTTTAGGAATTTAACAAAACCGAATGTTTTGTCTTAAAAATATGGAAAAGAAAACCATTTAATCTTAGGGTATAGAGAAGTTAAAAGAAAAATCTGCTCAATAAGAAATAACATAGAAACATGAACCCAAACTTTTAATTTTTTTTTGCAAGAACTTACCTGGTTTTTGCCCCGAACATTATATTAAAATAATGGAAAAATTAGTTCAAACAGTTTTAATAGTGAAAAAGAGAACGACTAACTTAAAAAAGAGATAACAAAAATAAATCTTCAATTACATCAATGATGAATCGGAGATAAGCATCACATCCTATACCAACTACTTCTTATGGAACTTCAATATTTTCCGATTCTCTGAAGATCTTTCGATAGTGCCACAGATCTGCGGCCGGTAGTTTGCTGATAAAAGTTTAACATCAGCAGCCGTTTTTTTATTAAGCGTCAAAGGATAGGGTTGTTTCCATGTGCACATGGACAGTACATTTTCCTTTTCAATATAAAACCTTGTAAAAACTGGGATGGATGTTGCAAAACTGCATCCTACATATTTGAATCCTTTCTGATACTGGAAAAGTCGATTGGTCGAAATGCAAAACTTATCTTTTTCTTTGGCAACAAAAGCAGATTTGAAAAAACTTTAAGATGTGTTGCAAAACCTTTTTGAAGTTGAAGATACTAGACATTCATCGGAAATATGGATATGGCCATTTTTCATGGCAGCGTACGCGTTTCTTGCATTTTTCAGGGGGAAGTCAATATTTTGAATCTTTCTTATTAGTTTTTTACTTTTTGTTTTATTAACCAGGCGTCTATTGACACGGCTAGGGCCAGGGCTATTCTCATCACTCGATACATATTCTCTTCCTGACGATTGAAGAGGCTCTTCTTTTGACGTCATTTTCGCGCCAAATATGACTTATTGCAGTGCGAACAATACGCAACTACTGTTAATTGCATACTAAATTACGCCACGAGGCGCGAGAACTACATGACCACACGGTCAGATCCAGACAAGTCCCCACCCTATACAAAATGCAAAAAGCAGGTTTGTTCTCGACTTGCCTGATGCTACCAATGCTTGACCAGGCAAGTGAAATCGTATGTTACTTCAGATTAGAAGCGTTGGACTTACTTGATTTTATCACCAAACGAATCGCAATAATCTAAAAACTCATAATATTCGAAAAAGGAATTTTAGATAAAAATTGGACATACCTGGTTTTTGTACCGAGGGATTAATTGAAGCAATTGCTTCAAATCATTTGGTAAATGTTCATACAATTTGGGAGCTGAATACAGGAGAGGCCGTTTCTTTACTGATTTGTTCGGTTTAGGAACATTTCAAGCCAATAATTTACTTCTGGTGTTATAACGATGTTGAATTGTGCCGCGTGCACTGATAATTTTGTGATATCAGGCGGTGATATGTGAGAAATAAAATTGTTTAGTATCATATACTTATGCATCGTTATACAAGTCATTAGTTGGGTATAATTTTGATTTGCCAAATATTGATTTAGCAATGTTCCCCAGCACATCTAAATCGTTAATATGAGTCATGCATGCAGAATCCCCTACCATTTTATTTTATCAAATGTCAATTCTTCAATCAATCGATTGCTGCAGCTCTTCGTACTGATAAAACTTAAAATGGTACTGTATTAGTGAAGTCATTATACTTACATAGGGTTATCCAGCATTTCTCTTATATTTTTGAACACTAAATCAGCAGTGAGTGATTTATAACGGATCATCCTGGCCAGTCCCTTATTCTCCATCATTGCCAGATTTGAGAACTGGTCACCGAAAAAGGGAATGCCCAGCACTGGAACACCGTAGTACGCAGATTCTATTGTGCTTAATCCACCACCATGACTTATGAACAGCTTTGTGTTAGGGTGAGCTGAAAATTACCAAAAATAGCATCAGTTTTGTCTGTGGAAGAATTGGGCACTATCGGCAAACGATACGCAAAGGTGCAGATTTCCGATGTAGTGCCGATACAATCCGTAGTAAATTAAACCCCGCCATTTTGAATCCAATATGGTGGATACTAGAAAATGATGATTTATAATTTGTACCTGGAATATGGATATCAAATGAAAAGATTTGATGATTTGAATACGACTAGCAACATGCGGTTGTTCTAAGTCCAATATAGAGGACGCCTAAAAACGGAGATTTTTCATTATCATAATCACTCCTATTATGTGAATTAAACCGAAGGGCTAGCTTAGAGAATTACTATTGTTGTTTTGCTTATTAGCAAGATAATGTCATTCCGAATTCAACATAGAGACCACCACAAAATAGCAATTTATAATTCCCATAGTCACTCCCCAACTAACAATTATCACTCCTATTAGAGTTGCAAGAATGATTATACAGTATTCCTTACACAGCATTGTATACTGTAAGAACATTGGCAAAACCCTCTTAGAACAGCTATACAAGCGGAATGCGCACACCTAATAGGACACTTCAGACATTTAAGAGGTTCTATAAGGGCTGCAGGTAACAGTTATAACGTACAACAAAAGTGTAAGCCTCTTGCAGCCGCTATAGGACATTTGCGTCAGTGCAAGATTCAGTTTTTGTCAACTATACAACTATTCTGTTACGTGATTCTACTTTATTGCAACCAAACTATTTCTTATGTATTGTATAGACGAAGTGAAGAATATATAACTAACACAATACAGTCATCTTGTTTACTTACATATCGGCCATTGTGAATTTCATACCTAGGTATATGATAGACTTCTACACTGTGATATAGAGCTATTGAATTACTTGCGCAGCAAATTTTATTGTGATTATCGTACAAAGTAGTTACGCAATTTCTACGGGCTTCGTATTTGATTCATATTTTGATAGTGATCAAAAGTATGTCTAGATTTTTAAGATGGAAAACTGAACTTATCTGCGTTAAATCTTCCACAAATCCTATATTTAGACACAATTACACTAATGTTTATCACTTTATATCTGTAATTTCGAACTGAAACATAATTATTTAATATCAAATAGAGGAATAAATGTTTGCCCAATATGGCGGATGGTTGTGTATAATCATGGCATCGTCCATGTTGTATTTAGTTTATTAGAATATTTTGGTGCTGCCTGCAGGTGTTATACAACAATTTGACAAATGTCAGAAATGAAATACCGACAAAGTCGAATGATTTACCTAGAATTTGTACTAGATCTATATCTTCTGTTTGAACAGTTGATAAAAACTTTTTAACCAATATGCATGCGTTGTTTGTCTTAAAACACTGGTTATGGCATTTTAACAAAAATATCACAGCAGAAAGTTAGGTTATGGTGGAGTTGTTTACCAACATATTTAGCATATGTACAGCCTTTAACAGTTACTAAACAACAGTTGTATAAGTGCTTCCGTTGGTAGCAATTTGTTGGCTAAAGTAGTAAATTTGCACAGCAAAACAACAAGGCTCGGGTTTGTTTTATAAACGTTACCATGGATGCCACAACACAACCACTTTGACTAACCTGCAAATATGCCGTATAAAATAGTTGTATACACGTTTATGCAACAGCTAAAAATTTGTCCTATAAGGTGTTGTGTAAGTATGCTATAAGAATATTTTAAACACCTCATTTTAGAGCAAATATGTTGCAGAAAGCAAATTTGCATTCCACACAACATTAAGCCAGCATTTTGGTGTTCAGGCAACAACAATAGAGAGCTTTTATGGCTGAACGGTTCTTTTACCAAAAGCTTATAGCACTGCTTTGCTAGTTGGGTCCTACGATATAGATACCAGATGAACGGGTTCAAAGGGTTCAATAAGTCTCTTGACATATACCTACTCTTGGTCAAAATAGGAACACCCAATATCGACGGAAATTATATATAAGAAAATGAGTAAGGAGTTTTATGAAGTCCTACTAATAAAATATAAGCAAATTAGATAGACATACTAGTTATTCAACAATAAGAAAAAAATTTAAAACAAAAACGGTATATAAAAAGAAGCGACATTTTCTGGAAAACTGTTTTTATCTTAATTATTGCGAATATTGTTGGTATTCTTGGAATTGAATACTCAAAACTCGTAAGAATAAGTGTTATTACATTAAGGTTTACAAAACTAGTAATACAAATTGTGTCCATCCAACCAACCGTCTACCACTATTTCATACTTGTTGGCAACCGTTACTATGGTCTATTCAAATAAATAAAAAATAACCTCTATCAAGTCAAGCTGTTCGCGAATCTTACCTAGTATTTCAGTTTGTGGTAACCACTGCCTTATTAAGACATTTTCTGGAACACCTGTTAGGTTGCTTTCGAATTTCCAAACGACAGTCTGATCCAATCTACCCAACGCTTTAAGCAATGCTGTTTTTATTTCTAGCTTCAGATGGGAAGATTTGACGTTTGTTCCTAAAGAGAACAAAATCACTCCTTTCTTTCCAGCGTCCATTATTTCTTTTAGGTCCTAAAATTTGAATGATAACAAATAAGACGAGAAACTGTACACTGTGTCTAAGTTGAGGAAGTTTATGGTTTAACCCTTTCACCACTGTCGGCACATATATATCCCAGAGCAAAGAATAAACTACTATAAGACAAATACGTCCCAAAATCGCGTGTGATATGAGTGATCCAGTAAGCTTGATCGTGTAGCAAAGGTATAGGTTAACAAAATTCCCGCCAAAAGTGTAGTGTGAGGTTAGTTTTATGCACATATTGTGAGTGTGCACGTGTACACCGATATAATAGCCTTAAAAACAAAAGAAATAAGAATTATTTATTGTCTACGAGTTGTCAAAAATACAAAGAACTATCAGATAAGCGAGGTAGTGAAATATTTACATTCTAACAATATTTTTTCTTGCGGGACATATGTGCCCCAGTAGTAACCTTCAATGGGACACAAAATCCCAATTGTATATATGATAGCAATGCATTTTCTTTATTCCTAAGGATGAGCCGACGTTTTCTAACACAAGAGGAACTAGAATACATTGCTCAGGAGTTCAGTTGGTCGTCAAGTTTCGAGGAAGATCTTTTCCATGCTTCTGATGAAGATAGCGATTTTATTCCTTCCGAAAGAATCCCAAGAAGCACACGTAAGAGACGATTTGCTAGAAACCGATGGAGAATATAGAGAAGCAGAAGATGGAGACGTAGAAGATGATGATCTAGAAGATAATGTGGAAGCTGAAGGTGAGCGAGTGATTGCTTTTCAATGGATCTCAGTTGTTCAACACTTTACTCCAAGAAAACTGATTTCTGTTGAAAGAGAAGGAGTGCCTACTATAGATCTTGAAAGATCATCAACCGAGCTACAGGTTTTTTTGAAACTCTTTCCTAGAAGTTTACTTATTCACATAGCACACTGCAAAAATGGGCGCTTGGGTATGTTGAAAAGCCAAAAATCAAAAACTGATCAATATGAGATACTGCTTGTCCTTGGATGTACCCTTGTAATGAGTTATAATCGCGTTCCCTAATTCTACAATTATTGGTCATCCAATGAATCTCTATCAAACTCTGTCATGAAAAAAGCAATAAGTAGAGATAGATGCACGCTCATTCTTTCGAAAATGTATTAAACCGAATACGCCTGAGTCCTCACCCAAAACTTACTACTTGGATGAATTAGTTGTTTGTTTGAAGAAGAGGTTCCAGAAAGCCAGAACTGAATGTTCGCATCAGTCAATTGATGAAACGATGACTAAATTCAAAGGACGATCTAGTCTGAAACAGTATCTTCCCATGAAACCGATAAAAAGGGGAATCAAGCTGTGGCAAAGATGCGATTCCAAAACCGGATATGTTTACGACTTGAATATATATTCTGGTAAAGATGTCGATAAGGTAGTTGGCACCCTTGGGGAAAGGTTAGTATAGATCTGTATAGATAGATTTTTCACAAGTGGTCATTTGATGGCAAATTTACCATTCGCATGTGTTGGCACGTATATGACAAATCGAAAGAACACTCCAAAATTCACTGCGGCAAAGATGCAAAGAGGAAACTGTGAATTTCAATATTGTAATAAAGGTATTATCGCAACTAAATGGAAGGACACAAAATAACTTTTTGCTATGTCTTCATTCGAAGGAGATGAGCTCTGTGAAAAGATCACTCATCGGTGGAGAGAAAACAGAAATTGAGTGGCCCAGCATTGTAGAGTTTTATAACAAATTTATGGGAGGGGTAGATTTAGCGGATTAAAACGTCTCCACTTACGACCTGGACCGCAAGTTAGCAAGGTGGTGGCGAAAGGTGTTTTGCAAATTGCTTATGACTGTAGTTGTAAAAAAATTCCACTTATTACATTTTTAGTACCGTTAGCCGAGCAAATGATTGAAGCAGGCAGGGCAAATGCAGGTATCAAACGCCGTCTTAGCGGAAAATGTGGTCCTAGATCAAAGCCACAAAAGACAATGGTCAATGTTGGTGATCACTTACGATCTGAAGGTCCTTCCCGAACAAGATGTCAGCAGTGTTCCGAAATAACCAAGAAACAAGAACGAAAACAGTTTGTATTGCTTGCAACACTCCACTATGTAAAAACTGTTTCTTGTTGTATCGTTCATAAAAATAAAATAATCGATGTTATTTCATTACAGCATGCCTGTTATTTGCACCACTATAGGGACACACTACTAGTGGTACATATCGTCCCAGGACATTTTCAGGATAAGCAGAATATTTTCAAGGAACTTATTGCAAATATTATTATATATATAGTCATTGTTTTACTAAAAAATATATATTTGAAACGAAAATTTATTAAAAACATATTCAGTGGTGAAAGGGTTAAGATATACTCGTAGTAACACAAATTTAGAATTTCAGCTGAACGAGGGAAAAATTGCGTAATTTGTTGAGCCTTGACTTGGAATGTGTAAGAAGAAGGTGGATGCTGGCATTATTATATTTCTCTGCTTTGTCACTTCAAAGGCTTACTAAGATGGTATACGTTGAACATCTCTTCTTCTGATAGTCATTAGACTAACAATTCTTGTTTTTTAATGCTACTATGCCGCTATAAACGTTCTAACAACATTTATACAACGCTTATAAACCCAAAAAAAGCGCGCTCTTGTGCAGCAATGTCGTTTTTCAATTTGTTTTATTATGGCTCCCACGGCTTTCACCGGATAATTGTTTAAACGTTTTTAAAATTATTATAAAACATAGTACGCAACAATTATAAAACAGTTTTATTGAAAACAGGCATAGAATCAGAACAATACAATTTTATAAAGGTTTGCTTTTGTTGTTAAATTGCACCCAATGAGCAGCATTTGTTCTTTAATGATCCTTGATACAGCAAATAAAATATGAGAAACTATATAGCCATGATGCGGCCGGTTAGAACGGATTATACAGGGTTTCTGCTAAAGGTTGGGAAATCACGAAACTAGAGATACTACAGACCAAAATATATGAATTGACCTAAACATACCTCAGTCCAAAAGTTGATAGTCTGCGAGATACAGGGTGTCAAAGTTACAATTTTATTTTCTATTTTTCCTTATTGGTGGAGAAGTATTTCAGATTTTGGCATAAAACTCGATATAGGGAGGTTTTCTAGTATGAGAAACAAGAATCCGTTATTTTTTTACTTACAGCACTATTTCGGTAAATAACTTATCACAACTTTTGTGCTACCCTGTATACAAAAAATGACCAAAAATATTATTTTCTTGTATTTCCACAACAAAAAAGGTTTACCTGTTAGAAGTGTCTAGAGTTAATAGTTTTCGACATATTTATTTTTAAAAGCACCAATGCATTATTTGAGCCATGATGCTAAAATATTTTTAATAACATAACTAGCTTTACCCTGCGTGCGTTGCTACGCCACCAACTAAAGTAAATTTTGATGAATTTCACAATTTACATAAATTCTGATGTCACCAACAACTCAAAACGTCATCATTCGTTCCCTGTTTTCGTTTCAATTCAAATCAGCATGAACTGTCACATTTGAAGAGACGGGCGTCGGAAAAGCATGTGATCAGTAAAATGAGGACTTAGAAACTTTATCATTGACATCTGAGAAGCACTGTCTGACACTTAACCCTTCGAAATCAGTGGTGATGCTCTTTGGTAGGAGTAAGGCTCGAAACAGATGCCTAAGTGAAATAAATATTAACATGTAACAAAAAATTTGGGTGTGCATCTAGATTATTCGCTTAGGTTCTCGGAGCATGTCACATCTGTGTTAAAAAGAGGATAGTGTAATCTTAAAATCCTATATAATAGTATTCGTATCCTCACGCAGCAGTCGAAGAAAATTCTGGTAGAGGCTTTAGTGTTGTCACATGCTACTTATGCAGATGTGCTGTTTATGCCATGCTTACGTAAACGCGATGTAGAAAGATTGCAAAAACTTCAAAATTCATGCGTGCGTTTTATGACGGGAGATAGGAGGCGAGACCATGTTTCTCAACACTACTCCAGCCTACAAAAACCGAGGAATTCTGCTTTCAATTTGTATCTTTCATAAGATCATCACCCAACAAACCCCTGCTTATCTCTATAACAAAATTCGTTACAGAACATACATCCACACACTCAGCCTGCGTTACAGACATTTAGTTTCTACTCCTAGATTCTGTACATCGTTCTTCAAAGGTTCTTTTTCTTACAATGTCGCACGGCTGTATAATAAGGTACCGATTTCATACAGGAGTTTGTCTATGAATTTATTTAAAAAAACAATGAAGCGTTTTCTATTGGCTGATGACTGCTCAATATGAAGCATACAAAATTTAACTTCTTTTTCTGTGTACACAACAGTTTTCCATTTCTGTTTTCCTCTAACTCTTTTTGTATCAAGGTTCTTGTATCACGGTAAGGTCTCGGTTGAATGGAAGAGCGTATTTTTTTGTGTGCTTATCTTGGCAATAAAAACCATTTATTATTATTATCATTATTATTATTATTATTATTATTATTATTATTTTTATTATTATTATTATTATTATTATTGTTATTATTACATATGAAATTCATTGGAATGAAAGTGGCGCCATCTGTCAAAAATTGGTCGTACCAACTCAGAAACCTTCATAGGCATATGCACAACAACTTTGCTAAGTATCATCACATGATCAAATGCATAGTTTACGATTCTACAAAGGACATACAGACAAACATTTGTTTTTATATGAATAGATAATCAAGTTGCTATGGATAATATCTGAGTAGCGTTGCTATGGTTTCTATAATACTGGTTTAAGCTTCATGAATAATTTTAAGTTGACAATAAATTGTTAAACATCATAGAATAAACGTTTGATGAATATTCTGATATGCAATTAATGTACGGATTGGCAAGATGTAATGCTTTAGAGGCTCGAAGATTGAACGCTGACAGATTCCCTAATAGACACCTGCCTAATTCAAAGACTCTCCAACGAATCGATTAGCGGTTACGAGAAACTGGTAAGAAATGATTATAGCCTTATTTGGAGTAGTAAAAACCATTTGGATTTTAGGTAGTTTTGCTCAAAATATGGGCCGACATAGTGGAGCTCCCAGAAGTGTACGTACAGCTGAAATTGAAGAAAATGTTTTAGACGCTGTCTTTGAAAATCCTATAGTTGGGGCTAGGAATGTAGCACGAGAATTTCAAGTTTACAAGTGTAAATGTAAAGACCATTTTTCAAGAGCAACTGCCCCATCCATACCACTAGCAAAAAATACATTGTTTAAGCGTGGATTATGACCCCGCAAGGGTAGAATTTTGCACATGGCTCTTAAGAAAGTTTAACGACGTCAATGATTTTACTTCGTTAATATTATTTTTGGACGAAGCAGGATTTGGAAGGGATGAGCCCATTAACTCGCATAATCTTCACATTTATGCAGACGAAAATCCTCATGCAATAATAAAAACCCGCTACCAATTAAAATTTCAAATCAATATATGGGCAGGAATAATTAGACAATATTTAATAGGACCCGCTGGGTTACCATCTAGACTAAATGGCCAAAGGTATCTACAATTTCTTGAAGAACCATTACCCACTCTGCTGGAAGATCTTCCATTACAAACTCGCATGAATATGTGGTTTATGCACGATGGCGCTCCACCTCATTTTAGTATATTAGTTAGAGAGCACCTAAATAAAGCTGATCCAGACCAGTGGATATGCCGATCAGGACCTGTAACCTGGCCTGCTAGATCACCAGATTTAAATCCTATGGATTTCTTCTTCTGGGGTGATCTATAACGACGCGATTTTAATACGCCAGTGGAAACTGTAGATGATCTTCGACAAAGAATTTTCCACCATAGCCAGGAAATGAAAAATAGTATCCAAATGCTCTGGAGAGTGCAGCAAGGATTAGGTCGTCGAGCTCGAGAGTGTGTAAGGCAAGGTGGTGTTAATGTTGAACAATTTTTGTAGTTATTTCCGTTTATTAGCTTTGTTGCCATCCTCATTTATTATTGTTAAATACCATAGCAATGCTACTCAGATATTATCCAAAGCAATATGATTATTATGTTATAAAAATGTTTTTTATCGTCCTGGTAAAAATAATGCATTGAAACTTTTAAAAACAAATATATCGAAAAGTATTATCTTTAGACACTTCTAACTAGTAAACCTTTTTTGTTGTGTAAATACGAGACAATAAGATTTTTTGATCAGTTGATGTATACAGGGTAGAACAAAAAAGTTATGATAAGTTATTTACCGAAATAGTACTGTAAGTGGCGGCCTCTATAAGTTTGGCCATAAAAGATAACAGATTCTTGTTTCTCGTACTAGAAAATCTCTTCTCAGGCAATGAGGAAAAATAGAAAATAAAATTGTAACTTTGACATCCTGTATCTCGCAAACTATCAACTTTTGGACTAAGGTATGTTTATGTCAATTCACGTATTCTGGTCTGTAGTATCTGCAGTTTCGAGATTTCCCAACCTTTCGCACACACCCTGTATACACCCAATACCAGACAGAATTTCGGTTTTTAATCTGATAGTTGATATTTCACTTACTTACAAGTAAATTAGTTATTATTGAATTTTAAGAAAAGAAGTCAATATTCCCGGTCATTAATTTTTCTTTTTCTGGTCTGTATTATAATAAAATAAATAATTCATGTGAACCATCTTATACCATCATATAAACAGTGAAGTATTAAATTCAGACATTTATTCATTGCAACAATGTTTTCTTGTAATGCACTTAAAAATGGCCGTCGTAAATTGACATTGAAATAATTGTGTTAATATGACTTCCATGTCATAAAATAATTATAATAATTATAATTATAATAATATGATTTATAAATTTGAAAGGAACTGTTACCTAGAAAGAGCTACAGACATTCAAATCATCCTCATCTAAATGCAGCCCTTACAGCTTTGGGATACAGAAGATATCCTAAATGCATCCATTTGAAAACGTGTTTGCATCAATTTTATAAAGAATTAGCTATGTATCCAGAAGTACAGAGGCTCACCTTTGGTAGCTCACCAGCTCTATGCACATGTAATCCACCAACAGGTATGATGTTGGGCGCCAGCTGCTGGGGATAATGGAATGCCATATCTACATTTATCAGTAACATGGAGATGTGTCTTCGTATATCATCCAAATTGCCCACACTCTCACCAAACCTTTCATTGGCCAAAGCTTGTATCGTCCTCCTTACGTAATATTTCTTAATTAGTAAATCCATGTTCAAATAGAAGTAGTTCTGCAACCGCTCAAAAAAGCTCATGTCCTCGCCAAACCCCATACCAAATGTGGGAATGTAGGCAGGTTCAATAGTATTTCCAAAGTCTAACGCAAGGTAATGCGGAAACAAGAATGCTGTCAAGCCAACTGTCGGTGGATATTTGAATCTCTTTATAAGAGGTAGTATGCAGCTCGAAAGAGTCATGTCCACTACTATAGCGTCAAACTTGAAATTATCAGGGTAATCTAATAGCGTTTTCATTCCTTTGTTGTTATAGGTATTTTTACAAGCCGCTATTTCGTATTCGTAATAAATCAGCATATATTTCCACTGTGGGGCGTCCATTGCATCCTCTACAGCCTGCTCTGCATCTCCTCCTTCCATAAATATTGCTATAAGAAAATGGCGTCAAGAAGATTGACTATATACTTTCTACGTCTTTGTTAGGGGTTTCAAAGATGAGAGATTAGTCATCGTTTTAAAAGTCGAAATCGAATCGTGATTAGGTAGGTTTACTTAGGTACGACAAATCTTCTTCCACGACGCAGCACTTACATAGAGGTAACAGTGATTACATTAAGCATTGCCATAATACAAGACAACGGGACGTACAATTAAAACTCCCAAAAATTTACAAAACAGTCTACCTTAGGTGTGGGTGTAGGTACTTATGCCCCAAAGCTTTTAATGCCTTGCCGGACCGTGTTAGGGGGATGGGTCTAAAATTTCTGTTCAAGAAAGAACTTAATTGTGGATCTCAAATACTCCTAGGCAAAACATATAACGTATAATATCCATGATGATTGTATAGGTCTCATAAATATACTGAAACTGTTGCTGTGATGTCTGTATACTTACTTTGTATTTTTATCCATTTTTTCTCTTTCTCTATGTTCATCGTTACCAAATTTCAATAACATCATATGTATTAGATGAATATGCCAGCCTTTATTAAAAATACTCACATTAACCGACTGTGGACGATTTTAACGAATTTATATGCTTGTTTTAATCATACATTTTCAAACTACCAATTAAGGATTACCTTACTAATTTTATGACCAATATAGTTAACCGATTTTAGTCGATTTGTTTTTAAGTGTGTGAACTAATTTAAAGTGGAATACCTGAGTGGCTGGTATTTTACTAAAATTAGTAACGGACTGGACATACCAGATTAATATTTTTGCAATTGCAAGCTTGCTTCTGTGGATTTCCTGTTTGTTTACCATTCTAACCTGTGTAGGCTTTATTTTACATTACTTTACTTTTAGGCAGCAGCATCGCGCAGTGCACGCAACGCCAACGATTGTCATGTTATTTCGAATTATGAACATATATAATATATCCGACTTTTATCATTTAATTTTCCCGTGTTTACCAGGATCAGAAGCTCCTCAATGATAAAACGCCTTTTACTAATACTAAAAATCCCCTACCGCTTTCAACACTTACAAAATATTTCGAAAATGACCAGGATCCTCTGAAACGTTGAAAAACGAAGTTTGGCCGATTTTTTTTTCGCGTTTTTTCGTCTAGCTTCAAAAGCTACTAAGTTCTTTATTCTGGGCATCGTAGTAACCGTGTGTGAAAATTTTGTCAAAACCCTAGTGGTATTTCTCAAGTTACAGCTGTTGATCAAACTAACGGACAGACCGATAGACAGACAGGCTGACCGACGGAGATGGTTCTTCGTGATGTGCATGTCATATAACTTCAAAAAAACATAATATCTCAATTTTGAAATTGTTCGTGATTAAAATAGGTAGTTCGTTGCTAGTTTTGGATTAGGAAGTAAAAGTAAGTCGGCGCTACCCTTTACACAACGATAAGGCGTAAAAATAACAATCTGATACAGATGATTACTAGTTAGTAAGCACAATTGTAGAGTTTAATAAAAAATATTTACTGTGGTGCACACACTCATGTACAATATTAATAATCTATTTTAGTAGAATTTTATAATAGTATTTGAAACTATCGCAATGTTAGTCAAATTAAAAGAGTGATATGTATAACTCGAACCTCTTTGGCTAGACTTTCGTGTTAGTCATTATGGGAATGATAATTTGTAAAAAATATAATGCTATTTAGCTTATTTTTTGAATATCATATAATAAAAAATTAGTAAATATCAAGTACTAACAGAATAAGTAGGGATTCACTACTTGAATTGATTTCCAAGCTATTTAACTTGAAATCAAGAGAAGCTCTAGTCAAGTGTTGGATATTAGCAATATAAATGAAGTCAAGGAGTTTTTTAAATCTAGTACTTGAACTTTCCAGTAGTCTTGATATCACTTGATAATTTTTGTAATATAAATACGAGTAGATTATAAATACCCAACGGGAACTCTATGTTACAGAGAAAATAATACGTACTGAACAAAATGCCTTGGTCATCGTATAACAAATTTAATAACAATAAAACTGTGAACTCAGATAGAAAAACCTTTTTTCATCAGCTGATTCAGAAAAATTAAAAACTTTTAATTATTAATCTGTTGCGGGGTTCCGTAATGGTCTGTGCAGCCCCAGAAAATCTCTAGCCATTAAAACTAGATTTGACAATACACGTTTATGCCTTTTCCACTACTCGTGATTATTTGTATTAAAATACGAAATCCTTTAGTCGAACAGAAGTATAATTTGCCATCAAAGATCAAGTAGTTTGTATATGTAGATGCTTAACATCAAGTAGAACAATAAAAAAGACAAGTAATTAATGAATAAAGTTTCAAGTCATTTTATTTTCAAGACAACTTTCCAAAAATATCACGTCACTTGACTTGATGAATCTCAAAGAATAAGCAATATACAAAAACATTTCATGTCTCTAACTGCATCAGTGGCCCGGTCAATATTTCGACCTCCCCCCATCGCAGGAAAAAGAAAAATAGTTTCCACGCCACTGACTTTTTCGGAATATGTTGAATTTTTGGATAAAGTATTTAATTTAAAAATCAGTTTGGATTTTACAGGTACAGTAGTCTTCCACTACTTACGCGTTAGGGTGATGTCACGTGTCAAAATCACGTAACCTTTTTTTTACTATTATGATCACTTACTAGTAATTTGAATTTCTCTCTATTATTGGTGCCGATTCCTAGGCCAAACCCTTTTTAATGATTTTTTTTTGTCAAATTTCAGGTTATTGATTGTACCACACGTATTATATATTTCTTTCTCAGCCGTTCAGCATTGTATTGAAATCACTAATGTTATAGTATAATTAACGACTATCTCAGAAATTTCCTCATAAAATATCGCTGGTTGCTCGTAGAGTTCGTTCCGCCCATTGGCCACCAGCACCACCCTGTGATTCCTGTATGTAATATCCTATATAATATTTGGTTTAATGTCAAGCTACCTTTTTTATCTATCAAGATACCTTCTTTACCTCTCAACCTCCTTCACGGGTTTTTCTCCGTTCCTTTTAATTTCCTATCGAACATACCTTCTTCAAGGCCACTCATTTAACCTTCTTTTGAAAGGTTAGGTGTTCTGCGTCATTTAATTTCCTGTTGAGGTTATGGTGTGGGTCGTTTGTTTTACTTCCAGATTCTAGGATATTACGCCCCAAACACCAGATTATGGAGTGGTACCCTTTTATTTTGTACCTAACGCTCAGTTGTTTTGGTTTGGGTGCTACCCCGTCCGTTTTCTAATGGGATTTTAACCTCCAGCGGTAATTTCTTTTTTGTATACCATCGGACCACGTGCACTAATTCATGTCCTGAAGAGGTTTGTTCAATCTCTGCATTAAGGCATTGCGAAAAACCACCATTCACACTCCTCCAGCTTTGTTTCTATTTGCCTTGAAGCTGTTTCGCAGCCGATTGTGCTGTAAGCCAGCCGTTCCCCTGGACAAAAAACCCTGATGTCAACAGGTAAAATATCAATTTAATTGAGTATTTTATAGATATTGATATATTAATTATTGCTGACTGAAATTCTTAGAGTGTTCTTGATTTTGTTTGGCATTTTACGTATTCAAATATAGGGCAGCGCCTACATGACACCTTCTATTGGGCATTACATTACATTGATAATAATAGTTATGTCCAGCAATCACTACTTCCGATCCAATCCATTTTCTACCAGATTTGCAAAGCCTCGGTGAGATAGCTCTTAGGATCTTAGAGAGCCCACACAACTGTTGGTGAGCCCGGGATATTCATTTTGAAGATTTTCTCCTGCCTTTTAGTTCAGATTTAAAGTTTTCAAAAAAGGTCACATCAACGTCAATCAAAATTCTTGGTCAGTAGGCCAATTTGAAAAACTAGTGCTTACACTAAGAATTTTTAAAGCATGAGCCGCAAAAAGAAAATTAAAAACGAAGAGGATGCCCAATTGATGAAGATGATGACCTGGATAAGCTGAAACCAAATAAAAATGAAGGTGGAGATCTGATTATTGAAGAAGATCCAAGTGAAAGTAATGACCTGAACAAAGAAATTGGCTACCTGAAAGAAGTTCTTGAGTCAAACAATACAATCATTTTAGAAAAAGAAAGATATATTAAGCAAATATTAGAAGAAAATAAACGTTTACATAAACAATATGAGTTACAAACAACTATTGAGAAAGATACCATATTGTCGAGTCTCGAAAAAGTCTGTCACAGAATTGGAAGCATAGACCAGAAGACTGATCAGCAACGTTTAACCTACGCAAATATGACTTCCCAGAATAAGCTACCAGTGACTACAAAATCCCTAAAAGCATTAATAGTCAGACCTATAGAAAATCAACCAGCAACACCGAGACAAGAAGACCTTAAGAACAACATAAACTTGCAAAGCAATGATCTTAAATTATATAGTGTTAAAGGTAACCGAAACGGAAATATTGAGGTGACATTGGAGGAAGATGACCTAGAAAAGTTACAAACAGAAATTAAAAACAAACTGCATTCAAAATATAAAACTTTCAGCGGCGCGGGTGAACTCGTATCTCAAAAATCGTAGTCAACAGTCAAGACTTTTTGGCAAACTATCATCTAGCAAAATTGTATCGTCGGGGGTGCCTCAAGGATCTATAATTGGACCATTATTGTTTACTATCTACACTTCATAATTACATCGATATGTGCATCATTGTAAAATGCATATGTACGCTGACGATACTCAGTTATACTACAAATTCAAAGTTGATGATGTACAGTGTGCAAAGCAAAAAATTGGCTATGACTTGTATAATCTTTCATGTATATTAAAACAACATCGTTTATCATTAAGTCCGAGAAAATCTACTCTTCTTTTATTTGGTCCCAGCCGAGTTCGACAAACGGTCAAAAATAATTTCAGTCTCGCAATTCACAACATTACAATTAAACCATTAGATGAAGGAAATAACCTTGGGTTAATACTCGATTCAAAATTGCGTTTCCGAAAACAGGTGCTTCCAAATATAAAGAATGCCTACTCCTCACTCAGGATCCTGTATCCCCATCGCAAGTATTTAAATTATGACACTAAAAAAACTTTATGTGAAAGTCTTGTACTGTCACAGTTCTCGTATCTTTCACCCATAGCAGTTTGGACGTAGAAAGCCGCAAAAAATTCGGATTGTTCAAAATTCTCGTGATAGGTTTATTCATGGCATAAGAAAATATCACATTTCGGAAGAATTTTTAGAAACTAAATGGATCAACATGAGAAACAGATTCAAAATTTCTGCGATCACCTTATTTAATAAAATTATAACACATGAGACCTACCTACCTTCATAAAAAAATTAAATTTCGAACAGAAGTTCACAATATAAATATTAGATCTACCTACCCATAAAACCACTATTTATGAAAGGAGTTTCAGCTACCAAACTGGTAAGGAATATAACAGCATCCCTCAGGACTTTCTGGGGCTGAGGGAACTCCCATTTAAGAAGACAATTAAATACTTTATTTTAGAAAATCAGCAAGAATGAAATGTCAACTTATATATTCAATTTTTATTATTTAATGATTGGACCATTCAACTGGTTCATTATTTTAATAATACATTTTTTTTGTTTCTGTCTAAGGTTGAGTGGAAGAGCATGCCTTTTGGTTAAATCAATAAAGACATTATTATTATTTTGATTTTTGAGCTGCCATGTCTTTATGTTAGAACAAGGGAAAACTTTCTGGGGGTATAACAGTTTAGTACATTTTCATCTTTCTTTGCCTTTGCTTTACCTTTCTTGTAAAAGAGAATGTACGTGGTTTTTCTTCAAGTTTCGAGTATGAATATTGTGTAGTTCTGTCTCACACAGAGAACAGATAGCAGACTTTTAAGCAGTCTTTCTTTCTCTAAGGTCTCCTGGCATTTAAGCTTCTGTCTGCGCAGCTGCTTCGGTATAAAAAATAGATAATTTATAAGTCCGCTGTCATTTTCAACTACTCTCAATCTTGGTGATAAAACATTTTTTAGCCTATGTTTATATTCTTCTATGTTATATTTGGTGGCGTATATGTTACCATCTTTTGACGAAAATTCCAGTTACAGCGTCTGGAATATTTGACAGATTACATTTGTTTTTTTGCATCATAAGCAAACTTGACCAAACAGCAGTCCTTTCGATAACTTCCTGTCCAGTAGGCCGACTCTATATCTCACATACAATCATTAATTTGACCAGTTACATTTGAGTCGTAGTTCATATGACTTTGGGTCAGGAAATAAATCAAACATAATCTAAATGATGCCACAAGTGTGTGGGAGGTACAGAGCAAACCTACCTGACGCCATTTTTTGAATTACCATATGTAAAAAAGATTTCACATGGAGAAGCCTTGGATACAATATTTCATTTAAATAGAATATTCGTAAAACTCGCCTATTTCGTTCTCTGAATATCGGATAATTTAATAATAAGCGACTCATTTAATGCATGTAGCTATAAGATATTCTACTTCTTAACCCTTGAAAAAAACAAGCACTAAAATATTGAAAACAATTTTAACAAAATATTCTTCCAAAATTTAAACGAAAATTACAAATTTAAGACAGCGTACACGTGTGTACAAACTATAAGAGATTTATATAATATGCAGAAATATGAGGAAATACAAATATAGATGATCTATACACGGAAGACCAAATTTGTCTGACGGCTTGAGTTCAATGTGTACGAGAAAGAAGCGCGAGGCTTCTACAGTAAGTTAGGTTACTGTCAAACCCAGGAAGGAGGTCTGTTCGAACATTTAATTTAAAACTTTGTTTTCATTTTGACTAGAATTATTTATTTCAATTTTTATGCGAATTAGTTTTTTAATTTATTTTAGAATTATCTTTGATTTCCACCGATAGTTAATTCAGAGTTGATCATCAAAGATAATTCGATTAATTTGCTTTTTGATATCAAGATCAAGATGTTTAGCAGTCGATGGTAATGCATTATAGATTGATCGCTTTATATAAATTATGGTATCACCCTCGTAAAGCTCGTAAACATCTTATTATTCCTGTAGATTCCCGGTATTTACTTTTCTTATCAGTTCTTGTTAATTATGTTGTTAATGATATCTGTGTATACTTTCTTATAGTGATGAGTAAATGTTCTTGTTTACTTTCCCATCATAACAACTTCCTACAAGATCCCGATTTATTACAAATACGCGTATTGTTAGAGATAGGATTACTCTATACTTTGGTGTACAACCTTCAACATCTCAATGAATAATTTTTAAAGTGGTTTGTCGCCTGTTTTATTATTTTTATTTATTTAAGGGTTTGTGGAATAAAGAAGTTTTGTGAAAAGGCGTAGTTAAAGTGATACTGAATCGACTATTTCGTGAATGGATATACTCACGAGAAATCAATTCATTTTTCAAAAATTTAGAAACCGAAGTATGAAGGAGTCTGAGAATATAGCATAATAAATGAAACTTATAAATACAACCTTGCAACATTCAAACAGTTCAGCTGATGAACATGAACTAATATTACATTCTCTCGAATTGAAAATCAATCTTCAACATGAATTTTGAATCTCTTGTAGACGTTTAGGTGAATCTGAATCTAGTCATTTACAATATGTGATTTTTGACATTATTCAAGATTCACAAAAAAAAATTGTATGTAAAATTAAGTATTTCTTTATTCAGTTACAGATGCCATGAAACTGTAAAACAATTTCAAGATACATTATTTACTTAAAAAATAATTATTAGATTTCCATCTACGAGTATAAACAAACCTAAGTTTTTAACTGATCCTTCTATCTGAATAGCATGGAAATTTAAAGTAATGCTCTATCGGACGTGTTCTGTTGTATAATTTTAGTTTACTGAAGAGTTACGAAAAGCTTACCTTCTAGCTCAATATAATGGAAGTTTTTAACAGGTTTTCGATTTTTGAAGTCATCTGGACCTAACATAGTGACATTGTGTCCTCTCCTGGCCAATCCCTTGGCCACCTCAGAGTTCCAAATTGTGTGGCTTGGTGAGGGTGTGTCTTGGAGGACTAGGATGTTCGCACATTCTAAATAGTTCACCAACAACAACGAAAAAGCTACACGTAACATCTTTGAATGAATGATTATTACTAACAATATAATATTGCAGTAAACATCAAACGACATAAGGTCAATCAAGAATGCACTATGCACGAAGTGAATAATATGATGCAATTTTCTATTAATAGCTCAACTTACTGGATGTTCTGTATGAAACTGATTCCAGTATGCGTATATGAAGCTTTTAGATTCTTCATAGCAGGAAGATTTGCACCATCACTATAGTATCGTTTCATATCCCTTAACATATCTTACCAACAGCACTACGAATACATGCTAAATTGATTAACATCCCTCTGGCATGAAAGTGAGTCGAGAAAGTTGGCAAGCACAAAAACTCCCAGCTTGCAGTAAAAAACAAGAAATGGCGTCAAGTAGATTAACTCTAGGTTTTATACGCCCTCGATAGATGTTTCAAAGAGACTAGGGTGGGTCAAGTCGTTCCAAAAGACGAAATCGAAGTATTCATCTCCTCCAAACAATGTCTGAAAATGAGCAGGAATCTGTGAAAGGTTTTAAAACTCTGTTCCAGCGATTTTATTTCCGCCGCTCTAAATCTTCGACTACCCAAACGATGGAAGTATTAAACTTGCGATAATATTCGAATTACTATTCACAAGTTTTCTGTTGCTTAAATATGTCCGCATCACACAACTCCGTGTTTCTCGTTTATGGTTTTTCAGTCCGTGTCTGTCATATATTAATGCCTCATATGTACTGAGTCAGTCTGAGTAATACAAATTAAAGATTA